GCCTCCCAAAGTGCTGGGAGGCCGAGGCGGGTGGATCACGAGGTCAAGAGATCGAGACCATCCTGGTCAACATGGTGAAACCCCGTCTCTACTAAAAATACAAAAAATTAGCTGGGCACGATGGTGCATGCCTGTAATCCCAGCTACTGGGGAGGCTGAGGCAGGAGAATTGCTTGAACCCAGGAGGCGGAGGTTGCAGTGAGCCGAGATCGTGCCATTGCACTCCAGTCTGGGCAACAAGAGCGAAACTCCGTCTCAAAGCAGAAAAAAAAGAAAAAAAAAACATAATGCTTAGTTCTGGTTTAAATTTGCTCACTGACTTTTCTTCTTTAGAGAATCAAATCTAGCTTATGACTCATAAACTAGATAATTATGGCAGTCTAGTTTATGATTCAGATATACTAGGGTTGTAAATTCCTACAATTCAACTTCATGATTTAGCTCTAATGCTGTAGAAGGGGGCCCAGGGCTGGGGTCTGTCACTGCACCCAGGCCTGTGGGGGCAGGGTAACACCACCTTGCAGGTGGTGGTGAGAAAAAGAGGATTGGGTGTTGTTCTGTAGGGAGGGGATAGGGCAAGGCCTTGGGGACAGGGCACTGGGGGTCCACCAGCCTGTGTGGCCTCAGTCTCAGGGTGAAGGAACACCCAGGTGGCAGCAGAAGCCTCTAGGGAAGCTCAGCTGGTATCATTGATAGGAGTCCGGGTGCCACCCAGCAGTCTCTCCTGTTCGCTTTCCTCTGCCGGGGGCCGGCCCCTAGACAGGCGGCCCAGCAGTGGGCGGTGCAACCCGTTGTAGAGGGCGGTGCCCATAAGGAGTATGAGGAAGCCAAGGATCTGCAGTGCATGGAAGGCCTCCCAGCCCAGTGCCAGGCTCAGTGCCCAGATGACAACAGTGCGCAAGCTGTCCAGCACCATGCGGGTGGTGGCGCTCAGTTCCTTGGTGACGCTGATGCCTGCGAAGTTGAAGAAGGCGATGCTGCTGATATTGCCCAGCAGTGCCATGGCAATGAGCGGCTGCCGGCCCACCTGGCAGAAGGCGTCCAGCGCATCCTCCAGCGTCCCACGAGGGTTCCCGCTGAAGGAGCCGGCGGGGATGTAGTACATGGGCACCAGCAGCAGGGAGAGGATCACGAAGCCAAAGAGGCCTGGGGAGTAGAGGAAACAGTTACATTCTCCCTCTCCCCCAAGTATTGCCCACCAGCTCAGCCTCCTTTGATCTTGGTCTCCCCCTCCCAGTGGTCCTTATGCCGGCTCCCTCCTTTCACGTCCCTCAGCCTCTCATCAGGAGCTTGTGGCCTATTAGATGGGTTCCAGTTGTCCCTTCTCCACTTTCACTTAGGGTTTTATTGACTGGATCAAGAGTAAGAAATACATTTTATTTTGTGACCCAGTACATGTGTTCATGTGAACACAGGTTCATGGACACACACACACGCTCATGAAAACATAACTACCCTTACAGTATACAATGCTCTGATATTTTAAAATTCTATTCATTTAAAAAAAGAACTGCCAGCTGCAACTGACTACATTATTTTCACAAGTTTGGGAAAACACAGCTTTCTAGTTCAGTGTGTTACTGGTCTCTGACAAGGAGCTTGCACCAGAAGGTAAGTCCATGCATTGCTTCATTCATGAAGGTCTGGCTTGAAAATAGAAATGAGCGGTAACAGACTGCATGCTCGGTGACGTAGCTGATTCACATTCTGCCTAAGCTCCTCAGCTCACTGGGGGCCAGACAAGAGCTGCTCCCCAACAGGTACTAGCCCCCAGGCCACTCTTTGAAAGCACAGCTCTGTCTTGCTCATCTCATCATTTTGATAGTTACTTCCCTGCTCAAAAACTTTCAGTGATTCCTCCCTGCCTGTCATTTAAAGCCTAAATCTACTTGCCTGATGGTAAGGTTCTCTAATGACATGACCCCAACCTACTTAATTCCTCATTATTTCCTCAACATTAAACCTATATTGCAGTCAAATTATTATTTTTTGAGACAGAGTCTTGCTCTGTTGTGCAGGCTAGAGTGCAGTGGCGCGATCTCAGCTCACTGCAGCCTCCGCTCCCCCAGGTTTAAGAGATTCTCCTGTCTCAGCCTCCTGAGTAGCTGGGACTACAGGCATCCACCACCACGCCCAGCTAATTTTTGTATTTTTAGTAAAGATGGGGTTTTACCATGTTGGCCAGGCTGGTTTCAAACTCCTGACCTCAAGTGATCCACCTGTCTCTGCCTCCCAAAGTGCTGGGATTACAGGCATAAGCTACCATTCCCAGCTGCACTGAAATTATTCCTTACTGATTTTCAAATTCATGTGTAGCCCCCCGTGCCTTTGCTCCATTTGGACTTCCCTGCTCCTACTACTGCCTGTTGAAATGTGCAGCTCAAATGCCATCCTGCCTGCCTTGAGAGACTCAGACAGCCATGGTCAATGAGACATCAGTTAAGCACAAGTGGTCCGAGCTTGAATTCACTGACTGCTCTTTCTTCCTGCTGGTCACCTCCTCTGAAGGTCTTGCATTTCATTCATCTCTGTCCTTGGTCTCCTCTAGCTCCTGGCACAGCAGGTGTCAGAAGATTTGTCAAAACACATCTGGAAGGCAAGTTGGGGGCACGAAGTTCACTGCCCCCCGCGCCCCCCGCCCAGTGAACCCTGGCACCTTGTCCTGTGCTCCGCTTCCCATGTTCCCTTCCACCCCACTCCTTCCAGGTCCCTGTTCCCACACACACCCTCAGTGCCAACTGCTCGCAGTGGGTGCACGTTGTGTTTGTAGACGAACTTCTCCTCTAGCACCATCTGGATGGCGACGATGATCTGGGCCATGATGATCAACAGGTCCCCTGCAGGGAAGGAGGGACCCAGATGAGACCAGGGCTGCACTGGGGCTGGGGGCCAGGAAAGCATGGCCACAGGGACACACCATGCCAGCCCCTGACCTCTGCAGGGCCCCCTATAGTTTACAGGCAGAGTCAACACTGCCTGTCCCTGATCCCCTGGCCCATGAGGGGCAGGTCAACAGTGCTGGGCTGAGGCCCCAAAGGCCTGCCTGTGTCTGAGAGCTGCCCCACAGGGTGAGATGCAGGTCTTTCAAAAAGCAGCAGGCTTTAAGACATTTCTTGGTTGATCCTGACCCCTTAGTGACCCAGGACGGTCACCTCATTGTAAAATGGGCTGTGATGCATCCCTTCGGGGCCTGTGGGGTTCACTGTGATGATGAACACACATTGCTCAGTACCAGGCTGGGAACTTGGTAAGTGCTCAATAAGCGCCCATTCCTTTCCACTCCCAAATCCAGTAGTTTGTATGTCTGCATCTGTATCAAAGGACAAGCCAGCCTCTTGCCCTCCCTGGCCTGTCACTCTTCCTTGGTGCAGCCACATCCCTCTGCAGTCTTCCTTACATTCTATCCATCACCTCCAGGGCTACCCACCTCACCCAGGGCTTGGCATATGGCATACGGCAGAGCCTATATGAGTCTGTGCTGGGCTCCCAAGGAGGACTGGGCAGGATAGGGCAGCCCCACATCCCTGCCCCTGGCCATACCTGTGATCACTTCGCTGAGCTTGTGCTGATTGTCATGCTTGCTCAGGAGGTCAGCCAGGCCCACAACCACCAGCCCTGCGATGGTGGCTAGGATGCCCAGCCACTGGCTCATCACCAGCCTCCGGCCCAGGAAGGCCACCGAAAATAGGCCAGTGAATATGATCACCGCACCCCGCAGCATCTGGAAGCTGGAGGCACTGGTCATGTTCAGAGCTAGAAGAGGAGAAACGAATGACAGTTAGCTTCTGAAGGCAAAGGCCACCTGTCACTAAGGAGTTTTCGGGGATGGAAGCATGCTGAGCTACTACTAAGTGCTCGAGCAGTCTTGCCTGTGATCCTGTGCACGTGAAGTCTGGGCGAATGGCGGGATGAGTGGAGGCGGGTGGGATGGGCTGTTTCATGCCCCTTCAGCCACAGCCTCCCGAGCCCTTCTCAGCCTGGCCTGGTTACTCACCCACATACATGAGGCTGGTCCCTGTCATGTCACAGAGTGCTGGGGGCAGGAAAAGAAGGGGGTTGAAGGGCTGCTGGGGGTCCACGCTGGAGTCTGATTGCCCTGCGGCTCTGCACCGGAGGAGGTAGAAGGCAGCCAGGCAGGAGAATTCCCCCAGGAACATGCCCACTGCCTGCGGGGATGAAAACCCGAGGACTTCAGAGCTGGAAGGGACCTTGGGGATCATCTTTGACTATTTTTTTAAATGCAAACTTTTGTCAAACAAGAGCTTACCCAAACCCCAACATGTACAATAGACAAATGCAGAGCTGCCGTGGAGGCCAGAGACTGCCTCCTAGGTCCACCCCTAAGACCCCATACATCCTGACGAACCATAAGGCTGTGCAGAGCCCTTTCTGAAAACAACTTGTCTAGGCCAAATTGCAGGTGGAGAAACCCAACAGAGGCTCAAAGACTTATGTAAGGCCACCAAGCAAGTTGCTGGTAGAGCTGGAGCTGACATTTGAGTCTCCTGATTCTCAGTTCAACAAATAGTGTCTTCCATTTATGGTGTCTGCCCTGTTCCGACTGCGGTCTGGGCTCTCAGTGGATAGAGAGCTGACTTTAGTCACTAGGGTTGATGTTTTCCACGTATCCTGACTTGGATGTGGTGAGGACATGACCACTTGCCAGGACTTTCACAGAGGATGGTGTTCTTTGCCCTCTTCTAAACCTTGGATTCTGCTTTGGGAAGGGAGAGAGAGAAGCGGATGGCTTTTCTGGGAGCAGAAGAAGGCTCTGCTCCTAGATCAGGAAACAGCCTGGCCTCATGGTGGGGGTGCCTGGTCTGAGGCCCGGGAAACAGGAGGTAGGGTGGACAGGGCTAGATACCTGGAGGAAGGGATGCTGGAAGCTGTGCTCTTTGCTCCCTCCGCAGCCCTCGGCCATGAAGTTGTCTGCCCATCTGTAGGAGAGACAAGGAAGGTCAGACCCTGGCAGCATCCTGCCCTGGTGCTAGTGAAGAGGCTCACACCTCTTAATAGGGTGACTCAGCCCCAGAGTGGGACTCCCTCTCAAAGGGGCCAGTCTCCACATCAAGGAGTCTTAACTTGGCATTTCCTCAAGTTACTGTGTCTGTGCCTCTGTAATGCACAGAAATCATAGATACCCTCATGTCATTATAGTCACTGTATATATTGTGAGGTATCATTTACACTCATCACTCATGAAAATTACAGTAGTCAGACCCACTTATAACTTAATGTGGTAGAAAGCAAATCTATATACCTGGGCGCAGTGGCTTATGCCTGTAATCCCAGCACTTTGGGAGGCTGAGGTGGGTGGATCACTTGAGGTCAGGAGTTTGAGACTAGCTTGGCCAACATGGTGAAACCCTATCTCTATTAAAAATACAAAAATTAGCCAGGCGTGAGGCGGAGTCTGCAGTGAGCCAAGATTATACCACTGCACTCCAGCCTGGGTTACAGAGCAAGATCTCATCTTTAAAAAAAAGCATATCTATATATATCACTATAAAACAAATTTGCTTTTTTAAGTGTTTGGTAACTGTATTTCCATTTAATTACTTCTTTTGTAATCCTTGGTCTTTTTATTTACACGTTTTAAAACATTACCGTAAGAAGAGGTCCATAGGCTATGCCAGACTATCAAAGGGTCCCATGGCATGAAAAATATCAAGAAGTTCTGGTCTACAGGACTACCTGGGCAATGGGAAATGACCACCTAATACAGACCACCTGCTTACCTTCAAAGCACCTGAATTGTTTGGAAGATCTTTCTAATGCTGACTTTCAAGCAGGTGGCAAAGACATCATACTCATGGCGTGACTTCCCAGTCAGCACCTGGCAGATGGTGATAACTGATTATGACTTACTTCTCCAATGAGCCCAGAATCCTTTGTGGCATAGAGCTTTGGGCAGCTTAACCACCAATCACTCTGAACTGTCTGCCATCTGTCCATGAAAATTCCTTCTCAGGCCGGGCGCGGTGGCTCAAGCCTGTAATCCCAGCACTTTGGGAGGCCGAGGCGGGTGGATCACGAGGTCAAGAGATCGAGACCATCCTGGTCAACATGGTGAAACCCCGTCTCTACTAAAAATACAAAACATTAGCTGGGCATGGTGGTGCGTGCCTGTAATCCCAGCTACTCGGGAGGCTGAGGCAGGAGAATTGCCTGAACCCAGGAGGTTGCGGTGAGCCGAGATCGCGCCATTGCACTCCAGCCTGGGTAACAAGAGCGAAACTCCGTCTCAAAAAAAAAAAAAAAAAATAAAAAAGAAAATTCCTTCTCTTGAATTTCATCTTTGCTGGGCTTGGTTAGTTCTGTGGAGTCTTGTCTAATCTTTCATTTGAAAGCCCTTAGGTACTTGGGGCCTTTTTGACCTTCTTCTGAATCTTCTCATCTCCTGGCTAAACAGCTCCAGCCTCCCTTAACCTTTCACCCCTGGCCACTGACTTCTGGAAGTACCCTGGTGGACCCAGGCCCAGAGCCAACAGCATGTGATCTGGCCCAGACGGAGGCTGGCAAGGCATGGCCCCTCCCTCATGTTGACACCCTGGGCTCACTGACACAGCTCCAAATGCATCAGTCACATCACGTGCTGACTCAAGTCAACACAGACCCAGAGCCGTTTCCTGTGGGCTGCCGACCTGCTCTCACTGCAGCATGCCCTATGTAGGCAGTGGATGTCTCTAAAGTGCAAGACTTAGGACTTCTTTTTATTAAATGTCTTTCCTTGAAATGCCTTTCTAGGGCAGTCACATTGCAGTGCACAGCCTTGCACTACCACTGGCTCATCTCTGTAGTGAGCCTCAGCTCCCAAAGGGTGGGGGAGTTCTCTGGTTCCTGCACCTCCCCCGCAGAGCCCAGAGCATGCACCACTGGTTGTGCTTCAGTTAGAGTCTAGGTTTGACAAAGACCCTGTCCAGCTTTGGCTTCTCTATGCCTGAGTTTGGGGAAGAAAATAGGGCTAAGGCAAATCTATTCCATAGTGAAAGACCCCACCTGCTCCTGGAGATGTGGAGAAAGAGGGGTAGTTAAGAGTGCTTGTCGTTTTTGGGAAGAGCAGGAACAAAGGAGAGTTGAAGGGAGAAGTTTGGACAGAACCGGGTAGAAGGCAGAGAGAAACCTGGAGCCTGGCATGGCTTGGGGACCAGGCTATAACCAGTCCCAGTCTCAACGGGGGAAAGAAAGCCCTGCTATGGAACAGGGAGTCTGGGAGCAGGAGAAGTCTCCACCCCAGGTCAGGAAAACACCTGACCTCATGGGTTGGAGTCTCATTTTCTTCTCTTTTTTTTTTTTTTTTTTAGAGATAGGGTCTTGCTATGCCAGCCAGGTTGGTCTTGAACTCCTGGGCTCCAGCAATCCTCCCACCTCAGCCTCCTGAGTTGCTGAGATTATAGGCATGAGCCACTGCACCCATGGTACCTAATTTCTGCCTGACTTGCTGCTGGCTCTTGGGCCCTGGCCAGGACAGGACATGGAACGTGGGTAAGGGCCACAAACCGATTGTATGGCTCACCCCAGCAAGGCTGCTCTTGAATCCAGTTTTGCTTTTGCAGAAAGAGCTCCTTGAGAAGGCCTGCGTGAGGCAACTGAGTGAAACACAGGCAAAGCAAGGAAGACGGAAGAGGTCAAGCCTTACCAAGAGCACAGAGCCAACTGCCCAGAGCAAGTGAAGTCAGAGAGACGGGAAATCCCCAGGCCATGAGCCAAGGCTCCTCTAGGAGGGACGAGGGAGCTAGTGCCAAGTACATGAAGGTTGACCAGAAGCCGCAGGCAAGGATCATTATTATTATTATTATTATTTATTTTATTATTATTATTTTTTTCTGCAGGAGGCAGGTCTGGAAGCTGCTTCCTCATTCTGGTACCACGCCCAGATCACAGACTGGTAGGCTTAAAAAGTCCTCCCTGATCTGGCAGTGGGGTCACCACCCAGAACTCATGCTGCGCTAATGCCTGAGTCACTTATAGTAATGACAACTCACACACACAGCACATTCTGGTTCCCCATTCACTGTCATCTGAGAGAGCTCAGCACCCAGCTGCTTCCACATCTCTCAATCCCTTGCTCCTGGCACGTTACTCTACAGAAGCTCAACACTTTTTGTTGAATGAATGAGACTTCCAGATCCCTCCCAGCAAACAGGCCAGGTACTGCAGTGTGGAGGCCGTGTTTCCATGAGTCCTACTTCCCACCTGAGTCTGAGGTCTCTGTGCTGATAGAACAAGCTGGTCCATAGGGGAAACCCCTTGGGGTCTGTCCTTCCCCAAGGTTGGGGTGCTTCTTGGGGAGCTGGCTGTAGGGCTGGTGCTGTGCTCCCCACCTCCCACAAGGCTTGTCTTCGCTTTCTCCATGAGTAGGTCTGCCTAAACAGGCCTGGCTGGCAGCGCTCCCAGCTGGGGAAATGGAATCTCTTTGTATCTGACAGCCTGGGCTAGGCTGACAGTCCAAGGGATTGGATGTCGGCAGCATGGGCTGCCCTGCCCAGCCTGAGACGCTCAGGACTGCAGGTACCTTGAGGCAGAAAGCCAGGCTTCTCATCCTGAATTGGAGATGGGCTTCGGCTCATTGTGCAGAATCAGAAGGACCCCAGCCTCACAGGCTAGAGCCAAAATCCAGCCCCAGTTTACCTGGGGATGACAGCAATGACGCCTAAGGTGGGAAGCACTTTGCTGTCTGTGCTTTGCAACGTTTGATTTTTTTTTTTAATTTGAAAAAAAATGGAACGCTTCACGAATTTGCGTGTCATCCTTGCGCAGGGGCCATGCTAATCTTCTCTGTATTGTTCCAATTTTAGTATATGTGCTGCTGAAGCGAGCACCAAAGTTTAATTTTTTTTCTTATATATTCTTTATTTGAAGTTTTAAAGATTTCTTTCTCTTTTGTATTATTCATATAAAGTTTAAATCCTATTTTTTAAATTTCCAAACTTGCTCTTTTCTTTTTTTTTTTTTGGGATTCATTTTTCTTTTTCTTAGTGATTTTTTTTTTCCCCATTTATTTGTTTTATTGCATTTTAGGTTTTGGAACGTTTAATTTTTGTTTTTGTTCTTGTTTGTTTCTGAAACGGAACCTCGCACTGTCACTGAGGCTGGAGTGTAACAGTGCAATTTCAGCTCACTGCAACCTCCACCTTCCAGGTTCAAGTGATTCTCCTGCCTTAGCCTCCTAAGTAGCTGGGATTACGGGCACCCACCACCATGCCCAGCTAATTTTTATATTTTTTGTAGAGATGGAGTTTCACCAAGTTGGCCAGGCTGGTCTCGAACTCCTGACCAACCACATTGGTCTCCCAAAGTGCTGGGATTACAGACATGAGGCACTGCGTGCAGCCAACATCTTTTTTTTTTTTTTTGAGACAGGGTATTACTCTGTTGCCCAGGCTGGAGTGCAGTGGCACGATCACAGCTCACTACAGCCTCAGCCTCCCAAGGCTCAGGTGATCCACCTCGAACTCTTGAGAGCTGGGACTACAGGCATGGGCCACCATGCCTGCCTTATTTTTGTATTGCCTCGTTATGTTGCCCAGGCTGGTTTCAAACTCCTCGCCTCAAGAGATCTGCCTGCCTCAGCCTCCTAAAGTGTTGGGATTACAGGTGTGAGCCACTGTACCTGGCCCCTGGTTCCTTAGATGCATAATTCATTGGGCACTTTATGGGGGCTGTCCCGTTAAGCCTTATAACAAGGATCCTCATTTTAGATGAAGACTTTGAGGCTTGAGGCAGATCCAGGGTCCAAACCGTGCTTGAATTTACACTCAGAAAAGGCAGAATACAGAGAAAACCCAGGGTTTTGAATACCAAAGGCTGGACAAGTTATAGGAATAATCATACCAACACTGACAAACTGTCAGAAGTAATACATGATACAAGGATATATACATGACCCGGCACATGGCAGGTATTCAGCAAAATGCATTTTCTGCTCCCTCCCCTT